TCTATGAACAAAAGTTTAAGAGGGAACCAGATGAAGAACAAGCACTGGCGGTTTCTTATGGTAACACCGGTGGTCGAGGACGAGGGAGAAACAGCTTCAGAGGAGGAAGAGGTCATGGACGAGGCCGTCAAAGCTACAATAAAGCAACAATTGAATGTTACAAATGCCACCAATTAGGGCATTTTCAATATGAATGCCCTAATCTCGAGAAGACGGTTAATTATGCTGAGATGAGCAAGGATGAAGAGATGCTTCTTATGGCTTATATTGAAGCATCAGGGGAAAAAGGAGAGACTGCATGGTTCTTAGACAACGGGTGCAGCAACCACATGAGCGGAGACATCTCTCTCTTTTGTACCATGGAGGAAGGGTTCAAAAGAGAAGTCAGTCTAGGGAACCATATGAGGATGAAGGTTGTGGGCAAAGGGAGTGTTAGGTTAAATCTTGGCGGTGTTTGTTATGTTGTTCAAGAAGTGTTCTATATTCCAGAATTGAAGAACAATTTACTAAGTATCGGACAGTTGCAGGAGAAAGGCTTGGCCTTTCTAATCAAGAACAATGAGTGCAAAATCTATCATCCATTAAAGGGCCTTATCCTTGAAAGCAGAATGACACTCAACAGAATGTTCATATTGCTCTCGAAGACCTCCTCGGCTACCAATGAGTCAGGTGAATGCTGCTTCCAAACTGACATCCAAGAAATTGCTCATCTATGGCACTGCAGGTGTGGCCACCTTAGCTATACTGGACTTCAAACTTTGACAAGCAACAACATGGTTAAAGGCTTGCCAAATCTTGGAGAAATCATTGCTGCTAGAGAAACTACTGCTGTATGCACTGAGTGTTTGAAAGGAAAACAACACAGGGAGATCATACCAAGAAAATCCATGTGGAGAGCTGAAGCCCGATTGGAGCTTATACATGCTGACATATGTGGTCCCATCTCGCCAATGTCACATGGTCAAAAAAGGTACCTCATCTGTTTCATTTACGACTTTAGTAGGAAGGCTTGGGTGTATTTTATTGCTTATAAGAGTGATGCATTTTCTACATTCAAGCAATTTAAAAGTCGGGTAGAAAGGGAGTCCGGTTTATTTGTGAAATGCTTGAGAACTGATCGTGGAGGCGAGTTTACCTCACACGAGTTTACTGATTATTGTAGACAAGAAGGGATAAAAAGACAGCTCACCACAGCCTACACGCCACAATAAAACGGAGTTGCCGAAAGGAAAAACCGAACTGTCATGAACATGGCCAGAAGTTTACTTGCCGAGAAGGAAGTGCCTAAGATTTTCTGGCCTGAAGCGGTTAATTGGGCATTCCATGTGCTTAACAGGAGCCCCACCTCTGCCGTAAAAGGAATGACTCCTGAAGAGGCCTGGTCTGGAGTGAAGCCCACAGTCGAGCACTTCAGAGTTTTTGGTTGCATTGCTCATGTCCACATTCCAGATGCTCGAAGAGTCAAGCTTGATGACAAGAGCACTAAATGTGTTTTATTTGGAGTAAGTGCTGAGTCGAAAGGATATAGGTTATATGATCCAATTAAAATAAAGATCATTGTTAGCAGGGATGTCGTGTTCGAAGAAAATAAGAAATGGGATTGGAATACAAGTCACTCAGAATTTAACAAAGATCAGCTTGATTGTGGAGATATGGATACTACTATTGTTGACCAAGAGAGTGATACAGTGACACCACAAGATCAATCAGAGCATGAAGAAGCCATCGAGTACAGTGGAGATACAAGTCACTCAACAGCTGAGAATGAGGAGCTTGAGAATGCAGCTGGGACTAAGATTGCTACTGAGGATGATAATGTAGTAGCTACAACAGAAAAATCTGCAGCAGTGGGCCAACGTAGCAGAAGAGCTCCAAGGTGGATGGAGGATTATGTGGTGAACTCTGTTGTTTCAAACTCTGATGTGGCAGCATGTATTAACCCCCAATCCTTTGAAGAAGCTGTTCTAAATACCAACTGGAAGAAAGCCATGGATGCTGAAATTCAGTCCATTGAAAAGAATGGAACCTGGACTCTAGTTGAATTACCAAAGGGAGTCGCAAGCATAGGGGTTAAATGGGTGTATAAAACAAAATTGAATCAACATGGTGAGATTGACAAGTATAAGGCTCGCTTAGTAGCAAAGGGATATGCGCAACAACACGGAATTGATTATGAAGAAGTATACGCGCCAGTGGCAAGGCTAGACACTGTGCGTATGATCTTGGCTCTTGCTGCGCAACGAAGTTGGGTTGTGTATCAGCTCGACGTGAAGTCCGCATTCTTACAAGGTGAACTTACAGAGGAGGTGTATGTTGATCAACCAAAAGGATATGAAGTGAAGCATGAGACGACTAAGGTATACAAGCTCCAGAAAGCTTTATACGGCCTTAAACAAGCACCGAGAGCTTGGTTTAGCAGAATTGAAGCATACTTCAGAAACATGGGCTTTGATAAAGAAGCAAGCGAACAAACCTTGTTCACCAAGATCAATCAACAAGGGAAGCATTTGATCATTAGCCTATATTTTGATGATTTGATTTATACTGGGAATGATGAAGCTATGTTGAAAGAATTCAAACAATCAATGATGGAGGAATTTGAAATGACTGATCTGGGAAGAATGCACTTCTTCCTTGGCTTAGAGGTTATGCAGATTGACAGTGGAATCTTCATCTCTCAAAAGAGATATGCCAAAGAGGTCTTGAAGAAGTTTGGAATGGATAAAAGCAACTTGGTCCTAAATCCTACTGTTCCTGGGGTTAAAATTGATAATGATGATACAGGTGTGACAGTAAACAGCTCCATGTTCAAGCAACTTGTTGGTAGCTTGATATATTTAACCACTACCAGGCCGGATCTGATGTATGCAGTTAGTGTAGTCAGTAGATATATGGCCAAGCCAACTGAGATGCATCTTATGGCAGCAAAGAGAATACTGAGGTATGTGCAGGGAACTATGTGTTTTGGGATTTTCTATCAAAGATCAGGCAATCAGGAGCTTGTGGGATACACAGAAAGCGACTATGCCGGATGTATTGATGACAGGAAAAGCACCTCGGGCTATGCCTTTATACTTAGCAATGCAGCGGTGGCATGGTCATCAAGGAAACAGCCTATAGTCACACTCAGCACCACCGAAGCAGAATTCGTAGCTGCGTCAGCTTGTGCCTGCCAACTGATTTGGATGAAGAGGGTGTTGTCCAAGTTGGACTACAATGGAAGCAAAAGTCCAGTGATTTTTTGTGATAACAGTTCTACCATCAAGCTCTCAAAGAACCCGGTTATGCATGGTAAGAGCAAACATATTGATGTGCGCTTTCACTTCCTCCGTGATTTAGTAAATGAAGGAAAGGTTCAATTGAATTATTGCGGCACCAAACAACAGATAGCTGATATCTTTACTAAGCCGCTCAAGCTTGAAGTCTTTCAAGAGCTCAGGAAGAAGCTTGGCGTATGTGACATCTCAGAGATAAACTAGACAGTCTAGTTTAGGGGGAGAATTGTTATGTTATTATTAATATTGTTATTAATTGTTATTTGCTATATGTAACTGACTTAGTCTCTATTGATTGTGAGAGGATCATGGTTGTTAGTTTTAATTAAGCCTAAATTGTAGGGAGTCAAGTATGACTTAGTGGCCCTGATTCTTAGGAAGCATTCAGTTAAGTTTTCCTTTTTGTAAGCTATTTATATAGCAGTATTTCATTCTAATAAATATCAGTTACCAGATTTGCTAACAGAATGATCACCATCAAACCCTTTCCCTATGCCCAAAATCATCCATGAAATTCTGTAAACAACCTCCCATATCTTCACCCTCAACACACAACTTTCAACCCTTACACTAACAATATCACAGCAAAACAAAAAACCATATCATAAATCTTTAACTCATCACAGACCATGACCCTTCATACTCTCTCGGTCCATAATCACCTCATACCCAACTTACCTACAACCAACTGCAATACTCTCTTATCGCCATCATAACTTCATCTGCAAAAATAATATTCTGGCTCTTAACAATCAACCTGCAAGCAGCCAACGCCATCATCTCCAACAACCCGTCCAAAAATTCGCACGGAGCAGCAAAACAACTCAAAGCAAACAAATCCCAAAATGGAAGAAGGAGATTGAGAATAGAGACAAAGGAGAATCGAAAGTAAAAGATCAGAACAAACATACCTTGATCGAGGTAGATTTTCAGTTATTTCTGTTGTTTATTTTCTCTTCAATCGCAAATCTTTAAATGGGGGTACGGGTTTGGATTTGGGGATGAGGGTTTATGTTGTGTGCTCTTGTCTTTATCGTTTTTCCATGTAAGAAAGTTTGATCTTGAGAGCAGAGATGAAACGATAAGAAGAGGAGAATGAAAAGGAGAACAAAAGTGGAGAGAGTATTATGTGTTTTCTTTTAGTGTTTTAATTGATTTTTAATTGAGATTTTGGAAACAATTAGACTTAATGATAACTCATTGAGAGAATAAAAGTTGTATGAGTGAAACAAGGAGCTTGAACGACCACCCACTTTTAAACCTAGCTTTTTATTAGACTCTCTTTAAAAATTTCTAATTACGCGTCTGACCCGATCCAATAGCAGCCCAGGAAGGTTATCCACTTCTTTTTATTTTTCTGTTTCAAACAAAAATTATCTTGGGACTGGACTTAAAATAGCCCCGATGCTTTAATATATCATACACCCCCACTGCACCTTCTTTCAATAACCTTCATACTACCCGATCCTCTTTTTGCCTTCCCATTACTCTACCCTAACACATAAACCTTACACTCAACTCTATACATCAACCAAGAACTGACCAACAATAGACACAAAAGCTCATAGACGACATTCTTTAAACTTGTAATCTCCATCAATCTTCCACAAATCTCAAATTCCTACCTCTACCTCATAACTACTTTTCAAAACCTCAAACCTCTGCATCCCTCCTTAATACCTGTGACAAACCTTCACCGCCTATGCTCAACAAACCTTAGCCCCACTATAACACACTACTAACTTTAACTCTCCTGTTAACCAAAACCTCCATCGATTTGTAAACAATCACCCTTTGCATTCCACAGGTGAAACTGTCATGTCCCAACTTTTGAACCACTCCAAAGTTTCCAGATGCAACCCTGCGAAATCACAATTTCCATTTCAAGTCGCCATTAAAGATCATAAATCTGATATCATTCCTGGCTCAGACCTATAACACTACTCCCGCCGTAATAAACAAAACATCTAATTCAGATCAACAACACATATAATAAGCAACGGCTCAAATAAGATAAAAAATATTCAAAAATGCATACCTCTTTTCCTCTGGTTTACTCATCGCATTCACAATTAATGTCATGTCGGACGAACTCTGATAGGTATATCTCTGATCTCTCCCATCATTCCTGCATTTCTATACATCCTGAAGCATGAAAATCCAAGCTACGCGAGTCTGTGGCATGTGTGTTGTTGTTCAAAAATCCGCAAAGATGCGAGGAGGATAAGATGCAAACATCTGCGGTGGTATGTGTTAGTCGGCCATGGCACTGAGTTAAAGTTTGTCGACAAAGAAAAAGGCGAGTCAAAGAAGCCGACAAAAAGGTAAGTGAGGGTGTGAGACTGAGAGAGTTTGGAGAAGAATAAGGTTGAGGGTTTGCGGCACCGTGAAGATATGAGAGGAATGAGTTCTCGTGAAAATTCCTCAATGTGAACCCTAACAAGCCAACTGACATGTTTTGTTTTTTTCTTCAAATTTTAGTGAATTCAAGTAATTAAAATATGAAATTTGGTGTTGGAGTTTGAATAGAGAAGTTGGTCCTTGTAATTCCCCTGGAACCCGTGCGGTTTTGGTAATTGAAGCTAAGTGCACAGAAAAATGATGTTGGACCATTCAATTAGGCCTTGCACCCAGGCTTTACTGCAAGACACCCTGATTCTGGTTGGACACCCCCCAAGCCTTTATTTTCAATTTCTTTTAAATTCTTGCTTGTTTTAACTTTTTTTAAAGCAATTTTGTATGATATCTCTTCATGATTTTTTAGTTTTTTAACATGACAAAATTTCCAAAAATGTTAATAGTATTTTCTTTTGTTATTTGTTTTGGTTGATTCTTAATATGTTCCTTTAAGAAAATCCATTAAACGATTAATTTAGGTTTGATCATTTAATATCGAGTTAGACATTAGGATTAATCCATACATGATAACATTTTAGTATAAAGTTTCCCTTTAAATCCAAACTTTAAGACCATATTTGCATGACAACATTAGGGTAGACTTTCCCTTAGACTTTTCTTTTTCATTTCATCCTCTAAAACAAAAACATCCTTAATCAAAAAAACAAAAAACACTTTATCATTATTCAAACTCATTCCACACTTAACAAAAATATATAAAAAATTAAAAAATTAAAAGGGCATGTTATCTCCGTTTTACCGCGATCAAAGCTGTGCCTATTGCTAGAATGTGTGCACTAACGTCACCCACTAAAAAACACCAATAAACCAACATTTTCTAGAAGAACTATGGTCTTCTGATTCCTTCATGGGATACGTAGGCAAAATGTTGCGAGATCCTCACGAACGCACTAATAAAAACCATTTCATTCCCCCTTAGCAAGTATAGTTTTAGATAGATTTGCTCTTAGAAACAAACAATCAAAATGGATCTTGTTGAGTACAACGGAAGTTAGGGGTGCTAATACCTTCCCCTTGCATTATCGACTTTCATACCCTCTTTTTCGGTTGCAAGACCATCTTATCTATCCTCTTTGGGTTTTCTTAATATTTCCCCTTCCTCCGAGATAAATAAATTTCGGTGGTGGCTCTGTGTTTTTTGTCGGTTGCTTCAGCTGGAGACTCTGTTGGGGACCCTATGTGAGTCTATCCTAGTTTTGTTTATTTTCTTCTTTGGGTGTTTATTTATTTGCTTTACCACTTTATTTCTTTATTTATATATTGCTTTCTTTTTTATATATTGCATTGTACTTTTTCTACTAATCTATTATGGGTATACTGTGTCTTTTGTGATGTTGGGGTGGGTTATTTCATTTGATAAGTCCTATACCCGGACTTGGGGAAAACTTAAGATTAGGATGGGCAGAATAGTCATGTTAACTTTAAGGGAGTAATCCCGAAGAAGGAGGCATGAGATCTCCCACTCAGTGGAGGCCCCTTTGACTGTAGTATTTGTTTACCGAGTAATCGGGAAGACATTGCTGCTTTCGACCTGGAAGCCTGCGAAGCTGAGAAACCGTAGAACCCTTAACCCATCCTGTCCTTTTTAGGTGTAGTGCGAAGACTATGACGGAGTAATATGGAAGTAGTTGTCACGCGATGTTGCACTCAGACGAGTTTTTCCTGCGAATATGACTAATTACCGAGTAATTAGGACGTTGGTAATACCCAAAGGAAGAGTGTACAATCTGGGATTTCCCAAGAACCTTGTTCGGAAGGTGATAAACCCTTAGTACATACCTTATGGTCTGTTACCTTGACTCCATGCCCATGATGTCGGACCTTTGATCTTGTTACTTTCAGTTTATACAAAGGATTATGCAGTGGTTATCTAGAATATGTGGAGATGAGATCCCATGCCATAGTATACCATGACATTATACCATTATGTATATGCAACTCATATATAAGGATTTCCAAAGACAAGTTTTATTGGTTGAGCTCTTCAAAAATAAACTTGTTAAAAGATACTTATGGATAGACGAGTCATTGGATTTCCTCGAAAATGAAGATGAAACATGTACTCATATTATCATGTATTCATTATTCCTAACAAAAACTTATTGGGGTCCCTTTTCAATCAAACTTCAGTAAATAACAAATATGACTTCGCTAAATCCCTACCGTACAAGAAACAACCAGCAAAGACTTATGAATCTCTTCGAAGAAAATCAGAATGCTCTCTTCCGAGATATGGACACAATGGGCACCTGAATGGATCAGCTTATGAAAACCCTTCATGCTGTCATCAAGGGTCAAGAAGAGCTCCATCAAAGTGTTGCCACGCTTACCACTGCTGCCCCCTCCATTTCTGCATATGGAGGGAATAATGCGAATGTTGGGACTCGTACGGGAATTCATTGGAATTATATTGATGATCATCACGACGTGATTGATCTTGATGAGCCCCACACGAATCTCGCCGCTAGAGTTGCTGAAACTCCAAAAATGTACTATACTCTTGAAGAGCTTCTCAAAGTTATGGTAGGTATCAAGACTTCGGGATTCAATGTTGTTGTAATATGCCTCATACCATGGGTAGTAATTCCTTCCAAGTTCAAGGTTCCTGATTTTGACAAATATAAAGGCACCTCCTACCCAGAGACTCATCTTCATTCCTATTGTCGCAAGATGGAATATTATGTTGAAAATGAATCGTTGCTCATGCATTTCTTCCAAGACAGCCTGACAGGGCACCGTTGGACTCGTATATGCAATTAGAAAGAACTCATGTCAGTACTTGGGGAGAGCTTACTGACGCCTTTTTAAGACATTACCATTATAATACCGCCATGGCTCCTATCCGCACTCAGCTTCAAGGGATAACAAAAAATCCGAAGATTCTTTTAAAGAATATGCCCAGAGGTGGCATGAACTAGTAGCAAGGGTCCAACCTCCTCTCTTGGATCGTGAACTGATTGATTTGTTCATGGATACTCTACGCGGTCCTTATCTCCAACACATGCTAGGTAGTACCTCTACTTCTTTCTCTGATATGATTATTATTGGAGAACATGTTGAAACTTGTATCAAGGCTGGAACGATCCAAGGTATCCCTAAAAATACCAACAACAATATTGGAAATGGTAGGAAGCTATTTTCTGGTTTTGTCAAGAAGAAAGAGGGTGAGACTAGTGTTGTCGCCATCGACAAAGGAAAAGCTCCTGCATATCCTCAAGTTCGATTTCCTTTTCCAAACACCTGATGTTATTCCTAATAAATATGTTCCTCAAGTGTATGCTGATATAAATCCACCACCCTGGATGGCCCAACAACGACCTTCTGTTCCTCAACCACAGTATCTTCCACAACAACAATTTGCACCACCTCTGAATTATCAGCAACATAATCAGCGACCTCAAAGTCCGAGAGTTCAACAGAGACAAAGAGGGCCTGAGTATTCTATGTCATACGCTCAACTATTCCCTTAATTTATTGCCAATCAGTTGGTTCAACTGCGTGAACATGGTCCAACACCAACTTCTCTTCCAAGGGGGTATTATATTAATGCTCATTGTGAATTTCATTCTGGAGCCCCAGGCCACACAATTGAGAATTGTAGAGCATTTAAATGCAAATTTCAAGACCTCCCCGATGCAAAGACCATAAATTTCAACCCTGTTGGTCCCGATATTCAGAATAATCCCATGCCTCTTCACCCAGGGGCATCAGTTAATTCTATTGAAGAAGGTAGTGAGCAGATTCTGGTAACCATGGTTGACGAGATCAAGATGTCACTGGGGACTGTTAGAGAACATTTGTTGAACCACGAGGTGCTTCAAGAACTCCGTGATTTTTTCTTACTATGTTCCTCTAAACCTGAAGAGTGTGCTAGTTTGAAAATGACTATCCAACAGCTAATAGATGAAGGTGTCCTACAATTAGAGAAGATATTTCTAGAAGAAGAGATTGATGTCTTGGAAATTCCTTATTATCCGAGGAACATCTCTGTAACACAAGACACCCCATTGATGATTCAGACTCCCACTACCCCATTAATGATTCAAGCTCCAGTTACCCCTGTAACAACTCAAATTCCTATTCCTCCTCTGTGTGACAACTCAATGGCCGTTCTGTGGGAGTATAATGTGGTCTATATTTTTGGGAAGAAATATGACTGTCCACCAGTGGGAGACAAGAATATTACCAACATCGCAAGAACCAATAACATGACTCGTAGTGGGAGGGTCTTTTCTCCCCCACCACTGCCTCCTAAAGAAACCAACATTGATGCTCTAGCCAAGGCTAGGGACAAGCAGATGATTGGTGACCAACCTAAACCTTCTTTAGGTCAAGAAGTAAAGCTTCTTTTGAGGATTCTCAAGCGAAGTGATTGCAAAGTGGTTGATCAACTCAACCAGACGCCATCCAAGATCTCCATCTTATCCCTTCTCTTGTGTTCAGAGACTCACTATAATGCATTATTGAAGATTTTGTGTAGACATTTCTATGGCTCAGTTTGAAGGGATCGTAACCAATATTGCTGTAGGAAATTGTTTCGGTTTCTATGATGATGAGCTCCTAGTTGAAGGAAGAGCATACAATAAAGCAATGCATATCTTCATAAGGTGTTTGGATACAGTTTTTTCTCGAGTTTTGGTGGATACAGGTTCTTCTCTCAATCTGATGCCCAAGGCTACTCTATTTAAGCTGAATATGGATGGGGTAATGATGAGGCCTTGCACCCTAAGAGTTCGAGATTTTGATGGCTCAAGGAGGTCTATGGAGGGAGAAGTGGACTTGCCTATCAAGATTGGTCCCTACACCTTCTATATTTTATTATATGTTATGGACATTCGTCCATCCTATACTTTCCTTTTGGGTCGCCCATGGATCCTTGTAGGAGATGCTGTGACATCTACTCTTCACCAATGCCTAAAATTTGTTGTAAATGACAAAGTTGTTATCATTTATGGAGAAGAAGATGTAGTGATTAATAATATGACAACCTACCGTTATATGGAAGTGGAAGGAGAAGTGCACGAGTTTCCCTTTTAA